GTATAGCAGTTTCTCATTATTCCATTACAGAAGAATTGTGTTTGTCATACAGTAGTTTCGAAACTGTATTTTTAACTGTTAAATATGTAATTTCCAATAAATTATTTAATCTGTCACTGAAATACATTTTAAAGTATTTTCTGTAAACGTTCGGTATGTACGTAAAAAGTCAGTCTAAAAAATAGACTTGCAATTAATTAACCTAGATGAACCGATATGGGTGACCTGGATACTCAAGGCCTTTACCAAGAAAATGGTGTAAGTGATACTTATCTGGAATTGATAAAAAAACTATGGAAATATTGACTACTGTCACCTCGCATACCTGAAACTGGAAATACAATCAAATGTTTTGTCCATTAAAGATTTTGTTAATCAATACTATGAAAATTCATATGTCTACAACTAGTTGTAAAAAATATATATTCAATGAGTGACTATTCACTCGTTTGTAATGACTAACAATATTACGTGCGTATAAAAATAAATATAAATATATTTAAAATTACTATATACCTATATAAAAATGCTGATATAAGAATTCCGGGCGATCACTTAAATAATAATAACGTTTTGAACATTCAAGCCTTATTTGTTACGTATTGCTTTTATAATTTTATAAATTCGAATAGTTTTTCAGTTTTAGACTTAGTGACATATATAAATCGTACAACAACTTTTTTATATTGAGTAGTCACTTTTAAGATACCGTGCAAATAACATAAATAACGTGTACATAAACAGTAAGTAGAAATATATGATATAATTTCTTTCACTGCAGATATAGATTAAGGAGTACAATGAATGTTTTATTAAATGATTTTTATTTGTTTTATGTTTATTTATTTTGTTTTCATTTATTAAATGTTTTGTTAAATTTTACATGAAAACATGCTTCATAGGGATTATTGCCTACGAACGAACGTCGCAAAAATGTATGAATTTTCATCAATCTTTTTTGTAATAATGGTTCGACTAACCCATTCAGTTTCTTTGTGCAGCTTATGTAATTATTTTTTAATGATACATAATAATGTTTTATACTGCGTTAATTTATTTTTTCTCGGTGTTGCCTTGTTCAGAATAAACACATGTTTTAAAAACCGATACAAACGATCGGACCACTCAGGGTGGACGAAAACGAAACACCAAAATTTTGGAAAGTAGTCACTATGCTTGTTGTTATCGACCAAGCTAAAATATTATTTCTATGTTAAGTTCATCATTGTTTTCTTCCTTATAAAATCATTGGAAAAAATAAGAAATTGTGGAATTTACAATTTAAACATGCACCATTCTACTTCAATATAAATGATTTATTTTAATCGGGCTGTAGCAACAAGCGTACTGATTACTTATGCTTCTGATTTTTTCGTTACCGCCCCCCTCAAGTGCTCCAATTATATGCACCGACTTTTAAGGCATGTATTTATTCTGAAATAGACAACACTGAGAGAAAATTAATTAGCATTATATAAAAGATTATTTTGTATCAAGAAAAAGTAACAGAATGAACAACAAAAACAAACCGAAAGCGTTAGTTGAACAGTTATTACAAAAAAGTTCATGAAAATCAAGAACATTTTTAGGATATTCGAAGACAACTACTTTATATATGTATTTACAAGTACTTTGAATGTGTAACAATCATTTAACATTTAATGAGAATGTTTTTCGTAAGAGGATACCACAAATTATCGTCTTTGTAAAAAATTTCAAGGACTTCGAAAGTGATAGTAACCATACAAAAGAATGAGTGTTCACGCACTAAATAAGATTTAGAATTTTATAATTTTGCATTCTTTCGATTATACACTCTTTATTTATTTTTGCACGACTAGGAAGTTATTACACATGCATGTCCAAATGAATACTATTATAGTAAAAGTTTAGTAATTCATCGCTTAAAAGAGATTACATAATAATCATTTATAATTTGAACGATCTTTCCTAAGGGCTATATGATTTCTGAAAGTTTTAGGAGTAGGGTGTACTTCTTAAATAATAAAATTGCAACGTGAAAATAATTTACTTTGATTTAAATAAAATGTAAAAAGTTGGTCTGTAGTGAACGCAAAAACTACATAGTTTACTAGTAATGAGGGTGTTAATTAATATAAAAAGGAAATAGTACACAGTTTTTTTGGTGTAAGACAAGAACAACGCGAAAGAAAGATTATTGTGTAAATAATCTGTAAATCTATGTATAAAGGATTAATTATTCATAAACATGAGTTACATATTTCCAATAATTACAACGTTTACGTCGTTTCATTTATTTTATTACACTAAATGGTGAAAATAAAATTGTATTATATTATTTACAAGTGTATTTTCACGATCTTTAACTCTTGCAATATTGACGGTTTTAGCAACAGCAGATTGCGACGGTAACGGTTGACTGCATTCAGATATATATGTGTATGTATATATGTATATTTGCGTTTGTATTATTACAACGATCAATTTGCTTAATTACTCTTATTTTTGAAGATAATTCCAATGAGAAAATAATTTCGAACACTGCGTTTCAGCGATACATATTGATCATAAAGTAGTAAACTTATGACTACGTATGCCTATGAATCATGCGTAATTTTAAATCAAATGTAATGAAACTTACGGAGACAAAATACGTATTAACGTGTATTACAGTACCGAATTCAGTATATAGAATTCAATGTGGCACACGATGTAATTATAATAGTGTGAGTTATATTTCAGGAGCGCGAATCGATAAATTCATTTTTATTGATTACGTCGCGGACAAGAATAGACAATTGTGGCATGTCAAATAATTGAAGTGAAACAATAACAAGTGTGACAAAACAAAAGATACGTCAAATTTTATTACAAGGCAGGTATTTATAATCTGTATATAATAATAGATCTCGCATAATAAATATTCATAATGACTGTACATTTAAACAGACTATTTAAAAGAATTGATTGTGTAATAACACAAAGTTCTTAATTCTGGACAATACATTTAACTTCCAACGGAAATTTTATTAAAAATTTACAGAATAAATTAAATAAATATTACAAACTAAAAAATTATAGTCATATGTAGGGAAACGCTACTAGCAAATATGAAGTGTATATGATAAATAAAGACACAAATTTTTTTAAAAAATGTATATAGTTTACCATTCGAGTAGCTGCTATTTTTCATCTGTGTTTTTTCATTTAAATTTCATTTCATTTCATTCTTAGCTAAATATCTATAAATTTACAAAATATTTATAAATTATAACCACTTTCGTGTGAAATGGATTTTACAAAAAAAGAATCCTATACCAAAAACGTGAATTGATATTTCGATAAAAGATGATAGTATTAATTGAATTATAAGGTATTAATTCATTCGCACCAAATATTAAGAATTCTCGTTGTGTATCTTGAATCGTGTTTCATTGCTCATCTTAAGAGCCGTTATCTATTACTCTTGAAAAAACTGACATTTTATGTAAAAATATAAACATGACCCCCATATCTGAATAATGTTCGCATTTAAAATAAATGACTGTATAACGATCTTTTCATCAACATTGTATTAACTTTTCTAAGCAAACACATACAATACTGATTTTTGAAATGTAGAAATATAATGAGTAATTTTGGCAAAATATTTAATAAGCACAAACTTTGTATGTATAAGATTCATGTTATCAAAAAAGAACTTCTAAGTTAATCTACTGATATTATTTATTATCAATCATTTATCATTGTTATCAAGTATGAATCACAAAAGAAATACTTTTCTTTGTTACCGTTGTTAGTAGAACAATGATAATTTTTTTTATCTTCCTTGTTTATAATTTTAGTGTTATTTGTTTTACACTTTTGTATAAATATAGAACTTAACATAGAATACATAAAAATAATACAAATCAAAGCTGTTAGAAAAAACTCCGTGCTTTTCCACAGAAATGGGTATATCGAAGAATTGACTTCACTCGATTAAAAATAACAGAAATTTTTTCCTCCGTGTAGGTCGTTACAACGATTCACGGCAGTAACGTATTTTTGACAATAAGGTCATTTACATGATGTGATGACATTCAGTCAAAAAAGAATCTTTTTTCTCTTTCCACGCTTACTCGCTTTAAACGTGTCTTTTAGAGATGTTTGTGTTGTGCCGACTTTGGACAGGTAAAAATAGTCACTTTACAGAGAGTAAAATAATGTCTATTTTAAATAACAGTAGCAAATGAAATAAATATTTGTGTCTCTGCAATATTTTGATTTATGCCACTTCTTAGTCATTTGTTTATAACAAGTAAATATCTATATATTTCAGAAAAAATAATTATCATGCATAATAATGAAGATTAAATGATTGAAACATTAAAAATATAGAAAATAAAATAAGTATTTTTTCTATAAGCTATATGTATACATATATTGTTGCATCGCAACATATAAATACAAATGACTATGATACAAATGTTAATAAACAAGAATGTTCCTAAGGGTACCCGTTATATTATTTCATTAATTTGTCGGGTTCATACTGTTAAAACAAAAATAAACAACTTTTACAGATACAGTATATAAAATATGTAGTAAAGAATGTTAATAAAAATTATTATAATATTGTAAAAGAAAATAAATTTTAGGTTTCTTATACATGTTTCATTCGTATAATACATGTATATACTTATCTATATTATGCACATTTTGAGTGTAAACAAAGTGTTAATTAACATTACCCTAAGATTTGAATTGTGATTTTTCTTAAACTTCTTGTTAGATAAATATAGAACGTATCATTTATTTTTAGAATGCATTCTTAAAATATTACTGTAGATACCAAAAAAATTGATTTCTTATTGAATTCATTTATAATAACAGTCAGAACTTTTGCAGTAATATAATATATAGTACTTATATTAATATTATTTTGAAATAAATGCACACTGATTTATATTTTAATTTAAATGCAAAGTTCAGAATAAACCTAAAATTTAATTTACATCAACAGTAAGAAAAAGTACCTCTTGGGTAAGTTCGGCTGCAGTGGCTGGTTCATCAGGATTTTGCGAAGAAGTTGGTGGATCAGGCGATGTCACATTTCTACTTGAATCTGTCAAAATACTGGGTCCTGCTACAGCGTCTCTTGCTGTTTCTTCAATATTTAGCAAATATGCTTGAATATTATTTAATCCAGAATTCATTCTATTGTATCTTCCTAATGAATTTAAGTCTTCGAATAAATCTCTTTCATAGTTCAGAAGTACCGAATCCAGATTTTTTGGATGAACGAACATAGGTCGATGGATAATCGTGTGTATATCAGTGTGCCATCCAGATCCATTATGTAAATCTAAAGAACCCACACCCATGGCTTGAATATCCAAACCAAGGTAGGATTCCGGATCTACTCGTAACAAAGATAATAACAGCGCGAGCTGTAACAGCTCTTCGCGGTATAATTTCTTTATGCACAACATTTTGTCTTCTTTAAGTTGAATCACCTGCAGTTCGTAAATATATGCACAGCCCACAATAAATTAACGTATTGTCACAGGGGCTTGGCAGTGATATTGTATATAAAAATCTTATAAGTCGTCATAATAAAACAGTATTTCATATTGAATTACTTTGTTTAAAATCAAGCACTAAGTCCTATTTATATACTTATTTATCTTTCTATAATTGAAATCACACAATATGCTGTGTATTATTCTTTTATAATGCAGTACCCAAAACAAGTTTTTAAGTCTTCTTATAACTGAACTTCACTCTTTAGTTTCTTGATTTTCACATTTAATGAAATAATCATAGGTTTAGAATTAAATTACGAAGCACAGTTCTCAGGGCTCTTGCTGGAACAACTTATTCGATAGACAGTCAGAATGAAAATAAAGATTCGCAGTTCTCTTTAAACAAGTATAGGTCAGTTACTTTGATACAAAAATAACCTCAAAACACAGACTAGCCACGTCAAACTTCGGTGCACCTCGCGTACATCCCACGCATGCCTCGAATTTTATTTGACAATTCCAAATAGCAGTCCTTTGAATTAGAAGCAACACTTTTTTTCCACTGTCACACTAGGTCAAATATTCTAAAAAGCAACAATTCGATATACTAGTTAAAATTGACAGATCCGCAGATGATACCGGGTCTCGAATTGCTTTAAATTTCTTTCTGATAGCTATTCGAGGCCTGCGGCAAGCGCCAGAAACCTCTTTTGTTAAATCATCTTGCATTGACGATGTTGTAATACTGACAAAGATAACGTTAAACTAATACAATAGAGTGCATTTCACAGAGAACGAACTAGTACACCTTGTTGAGAGAGATCGCTCACGATATGTGACTCAGCACTCACTTCGACAATGTCGTTTTTCAGGGCCGCCGCAAGCGTATGTTTCTCCCTATTTGTTTCTATAAACGAGCGACCATCCGTTCAACTTTTAATTCATCATACTCAATTATTTAATAAACTGTATTGATTATTGTAATTTACATCGATTTAAGGTTTTGAAGTACCTATTTTTAAAGTGCTTTGCAAATGTCGATTCAATGAAAATAAATACGTACAGACGATTATAGAGCAATCAGCAATTAAACCGAATAGTAATATAAAATATTTAAACATTCAGACTTTTAAATATATACTTTCAATATGAGTTTATTTTTGATTTATTACTTATTCATAAAAATAAAAAATCGTACGAGGTGTACGTCAGTTGCATATACGTATGGTACGTCCTTTTAATTTGAATTGGAGAATCATAGCACTGCATTAAAATAGATTGTGTACGCGTTTATGTAACGATAGATTCGTTCGCAACTTTATTTGTCTTTTAATGGAAAAATGTTTTACTATATACTGATTTCTTTCAGAGCTTTGCACTTTTATCACGTAATTTATCACATTACTTATTATAATCCATTTTGAGTAAACTTATTATTATTATTATTAAGATTCATTACAAGCATGTACACACAAAGACTACATTTTTTAACAGTAAGATTTGAATTATAATATATACTTCAGAAACGCGTAACTATCGAAATTAAATAAGTTACAAGAACATAAAAAAAGTGTTACTATTTTTTCACATCTTCATATATTTATCAAAATAATTTGTAAATATTAATTCATTTATTATATACTTTCATTGCATTGTCAAAAGTGTTAAAAAGATTCAAGAAAATACAGTAATCGCCATAATTCTAAAAAAGCCTTGCTATTTCACATGCTTAATAGCACAAATACATTAATAATCAGTGCGCGGTGGTATATAAATTGAGTTCATAGGTGAAGTGTGACGATGTACGGAACAGTAACAGAAGACTTGGAACACAATGTGTTTCTCAGTCGGTAACAACGTCACAAGAGTAAAGACAATGAAAAAATGAAAAATTCTGCTTCAAATTATCAATTTACTGTAACGTACATATATTATTTATTGATAATATGCATTTGTAAAAATACTGATGAAACACGCAGTCAGAATTGCAATATACGAGCTATCATTTCAGTCGTGGACATGTTGACACACTATGCGTGGTTGCCATGTTGTAAGTTACCAACCAGATTCGTGAGTAATCAAACAAACACAAATGCAAAACGTGCGCACACACTTGTATGCATATTCGTAATATATACTATAACTTTTTCTGTATGCATGTTGTTTACTTACCTCACGTACGAGTTTTGCTGCCTTTAAATGCACTCCATCGGTGTGAGGCGACAATGATGTCATTCGCGGCAAATCTTCAATTTCAAACATATTGTCTATTTAAATTTTAAATCTCAAGATATGCATTAATTGAACGTTAGAGAATATTAACTGCAGGCAGTAGTGAAAACTGACCGAATACTAAATTCCGGTAACTGTATTCTGGTGAGTATGGAAGTGAAATTTTACATTACGTCACTGAACTCATAGAAACACTCTCACTTCGTTGAACCACTTTGTACAAGTACATGGCGAATTGTTTGTTAATGTCTGAACCACATTGTAATAAAAATTCTATGACAAGTATGATTGTGACAGAATTTTCCTTCTCACAATAATGAGGTTATAAGAATCAGTACGAAAGCAACTGAGTGGCGTTCCAGCATGAGATAATTAGAATTTTTCTTGTGCTACGTCACTGGAACGACTGCCGCGCTATTTGAATATGGCGCAAATAACTCAACACGTGCTCGTGTCATATAGATGTTTCCGCTTCCGATAAACTAGTACGCAGGCGCATTCGGTTCTGCCCTTAACACGAAAATATCCATTTCAGCAACTTAATGACATTATATCGTAAGCTTATTTCAAGAATTTAAAGAGTAGATAATTACTTAAATTACTGCTGAACAAGTCATTGCAAATAAGTAAATAATATACAAAATATGCATTATAATTGAATATGCAAAATAAGGAAAAATGATTTATAACATTTAAAACAATTTATATTGAGTTAATATTTATTTTTTCACACCTTTTGTGAATTATTAGAAATAAGTAATAAATAGCAACAATATACCAATGAGTTTTTTTGTATTTTACTGTTATATTTTTAATAAACTATCACGATTTAAGGTTAACATAATGTAATAATGAAATATAAATTAATGAAACAAGGAAAATGGTAATCTTTATGATGTTTACAAGGAAATATAGCTAATCCAAACACACACGTTACGATAAAAATGGCATGAAGGATAGTTATGGAGAAAATATTTCAGTTATATTTTGTCTATTAGCAATGATTCATATTGAAAGTTGGAAAACTTCAAATTATGATTCATCTATGATTCATATTAAAAATGGGAAAACAACCCTCAAAAATAAAGTTTGAAACCTCATTTTTCACAATATATTAGCAATTTAAAAAATGTAGCATTCAAAAGTTCCCGGTCAGATTGTTTTTGGAACTTTTCGTATACAATAAAGGCTTTAAGAACTTTTTGTTATTATGACATATAAAGGACATATTGCATGAGAGGATACCGTAAAATAATCAACACCATCCATTCTTTATACATATTTTTGTAGAAAAAAGTAATTCAGCGTGTTCAAAGATTTTCGGTCAGGGTATTTAAAAAAGAAAATAATGCTTGTTTGCTATTATAATAATAATTTAATGTGTAGTATTTAACATATTACACTTAGTATTTTGTGGTCTATACCCTTCGTATTAATGACAGTGACACGTTGATGTGGCGTGGACTCAATTCCAAAACCGATTTGGCCGGGAACTTTTGAACGCCACTGTATATAGTTTCGATATTCTATTCTCTTGTTAAATGATGCCATTTTTTATTGTAAATTCATTTGTATACTATTATTTAGTTTGAAAAGAAAAGTAGGACAATAGAAATGCGGGACAAGATGGTACAATTGTTTATTTTGGAAAATATTTTTTGTACCTAACCATTACACTTTATAAATCAATTTTAAGACATTTGTATAAACAGATATTAATACTATATTTATTATGAATGCGAACTCAATTAACATAAAATTATACAGCAACTTTCTTTCAACGCTTCCATCTTGCCGCATCTTCCCTTACGTATCTTTTAACGTCTATAATTGGATCCATCAAAACGGTAATAAAAAGTGTTTTCAAACAAATTTATGAGTCAGTATTTACAATGTACACCTGATCCTCCATTTAAGCGACACTCCTTTTACGCGTGTTTCTTATATATCCTGTTATTTACGCGATCTGAAATTAGCAACGTTGAATAAAATTTATATTTGTTTTCGGAAATGTCATTATCATCATTTTTTTGTTAAGCAATGCGAAATGAATATGTATTTTTAAAATTTATACGAGCTTTTCTTTCAATATTTTGTTTTTTCTTGTACCGACAGACTATATTTACGCGATTTTCATTCGCATAAAACGAATCAACTTGGAACGGCTGTTCCGTGTAAATGGAGGATCGCGTGTACTATATGTTTCAATGGAAAATAAGTGAAATTCGACGTTTTTTAAATTATCTTTACATGCGTAGACTATAAAAATTATCATTCGTGTATTAATTCATTTTTTTTAACCTTTAACTACTTACGCTGGTGAAGCAGCGAGTGAAGCGAATAATAATGTAAAATGAATTTCATCAGTTTCCCTTTGTTTATTATCAATTATTATATTCATTTTTGGTTATATTCCTAATAAATAGCATAATTTATCAAGACGATGTATTTTCTTGTCTCAATACAATAATATATGTACTCAGTCACACAGTGATACATGTGGTGTAAATGTGATATAAAAGTTAGGTGAAAATTCAAGATGCGGGTAGTTAAAGGTTAAAGGATTTCTTATTATCTCTTCATTTAATTATATAAATGTTTTATATTTTGTCCACTTGACGATATAGGTACTAAGTCTCTCACCTGCTGTGTCAGCCTTTGAAGCAGAAAGTCACAGGGGCAAGGGGACTCTTCCACTCAGGATGCTTGCGTGAATAGTTATAGAACAACAGTTGATGTTATTGGCCGAGCCGCGCGACGAAGAAAGCAGACGGAACAAAACGCGATGGAGTCAGATGCAACGAACATTAACGTTGAATTTCGTTTTTACGCAGCGGCAGTTCTTTATGTTTACCGAATCCCGAGGATGCGGAAAGTCGGCGGTTATTAGGTATGTTTCCTGGAAAGACCAAGGTGTGACCGATTCTCTTTGTCCCTGTGCGCGTTTAGCTTTTAGGACTGACTTAGAACCTGAGAGGCACATAGTAGATACATATGTACATACCTGGGGCACATGGTAGAAAAGGAATCTACGAGTGGATTAAACAAAGTGAATAGGCAAAAACAATACATAAAATAAGAACTTTTTATTTTTATATACAAACATTAAATTCTTCTATTTGCATTCAATATACGAGCAAATTATTATCACTGAATATATTGATAAAAATAGAAAAAACAAGTACGTATAATAGATGAAAGTAAAAATATTATTTTACTATTTTCTCCTAGATTACATGAATTGAAAAAATAGTTTTATTTGTTTTATAAATTTATTGTCTTAAAAGCAGTAGTATTACACCGATAATAAGTATTTATATACGTGTTTTATTTCTTTCGCTTCATTATTATAGCTACCGTATATGTTAGCTTTTTACGAATGTAAATATAAATATTTATTTCCTTCATTACGTTGTCGAAATGTTGGTATGTATTTACCTGGAACGGCACAGTTGTATACGATATTGGATTAGTATGCGCGGCGGTTTCGGCAAATAACATATTCATGTCCACAATATGTGTAATAAAGAGCATGTTTCCTTCCTCTCTGACCAATTAGACCCATATTTTTTTCCAAATGTTTTCTTCTCGTTAATCCACCATACCTGATTTTATGGCCTTGTTGATGATTCTTGAACCAATAAGAATGGAAATTGCATACTTTGAAACAATCCATTGTTACTTACATTGCTTGTTGCATAGTAATACGGTTTTAGCGACTTTATTGAAGTAAACATCACAAATACTTCAATCTAAATAGTTAAAAAGTCGTAAATTTACATACAAAGAAAACCTTGAATAACTGATGTTTCTGTACAGAACAATAGAAGATTAATTTAAAATAAATTACGAAAACAAAGATTGGTGGCATATATTTTTTTAATAATACTTATAACTACATAAGTTTAGTTAATTATGCAACTACGTCTAGTTAAGATTTATATATCTATACATCATATAAAAATATATTTCTATATCATCGTTTTCTAAAAGTGTATCATTCGAGTGCATATGCTGTAAGCATTCGTTCAAACGAAGTATACAAATTTTTATGCTTACTTCTTACCAACGGTACATAAAAGTTGTGGGCCATTGGTAATGTCGGTCGCTGTTAAAAATTGTAAGGGGTTTTAAGAACCCGGATATGTATAAATTTATCAGATGGATGTTTCTTCTTGTATTCTAAGGTGGTTACGTACTCAACGTTACCGATAATTCACAAATTTAGGCCAATCAATAAGAATCAAATTACATAGTTATGTAGTTTATTTCTACCATGAGTGTTTAATATAATCTGGAAAACATATATGACGCATACATTTATATAAGGGGTATAACATTTATTAAGTTTAATGCTACAATAATACTATTTATATGCAAAATTCTAAGCCACAACTTTTATTACTTTTTTTTCATTCTAACTAATCGTTTTATCGTTATTTAAAAGTGACCCAATTAAGGCCACTTAAAAGGAAATGTCTCCTTAAGAAAATTTTTAGTGTGACGAATTTTGTACAAAATATTTATGAAAATTTGGTAAAATTTCTTAGCATAAGTTTTGTACCATTATTTTTGCTTATTTTCGAAAAATGATTATAATATTTTTTTATTGAATAATCCTTAAAAATGACTGGCATTGAGCCTATCAAACTTGAGCATGAAAAGAAAGTAAGTTGTTGCTTGCCATGGCTAGAGCTATTGTGCTTGTCAGATATTAAAATAAAAAAGTTCAATTCTCAACCAAAAGTCTGTAGTTAACACAGGTATTCTTTAAGAAGAAAGAAATATATTGAAAATTGATAAACTGGTGGCGCTTTAAGTATAAAGTTTCGTTTTTTTGCGGGTCTTTTTGTTTTTAAATGGTTGTAGAAATCAGGAAAAAATTTTGTAGCATATTGTAGTGAATAGCTTTTTCATAACTATCATGAAAATTTATAAAACAATTAAGCATTATATATATATACATACAAGAAGTGTCCGAGGTTCAGGTCTATACAGCGCGTAGTCATGTCCTTTAATAGCTGTGGCCTGCGAGCGATGGCCGTGTGGCGCCAAAGTTCTGTGCACGCGTTCTTCACGGACATTTTCTTAACCTGTCAGAAAGAAAAACCGTTCTCACACTTCCTGCGGGAGGGTTTCTCTTCAGAAATGACTGCAGAATCCAATGGTACATAGCAAATTCGTGCTAGCCAACCCACTTTTCGTAGAAATGTAACAGAAGTATATGCAAAGTACGTGCATCTACCTTTTTTTACACTTTGATCATCATTTACAAACATTTAATGATCAGAAAAATTCAAAATTTGTATAGCTACATATTCGGGAAAGTCTTCTCTATTTTCTACAACAAATTTTAACTGCCTATCGTTTTTAGTTTTCACGTAACACTTGGTTTTCTGAAAAATTCGACCGTTTTTACAAAAACTCTGTTTTTTCGAAAACTGAACGTGAACCAGCAATTTAGTTTTCGGATTTATATTTAGGGTAAGGAACTCTATAAGGACCACTTAGTGGCTATTACAAAACAAAAATCGTGTTCCATAGTGTTATTATTGAACTCGACGATTTCAATGTCTCTTCTTTTTCTATATCCGTAACTTCAATCGCTTATTACACAAATAATTAAGGTTGTAATTCTATTATGCTTGATGTCATTTTAATCAGACAAACGTAATGGTGAAAGTTTCATTCATGGAGTTAAAGGTCTCAAGCTCATCGTAAGTCTTTAACGTTGTCGAATGCTTTAACTCTCAGTGTCTTTTTTTCCTTTACTCACGTTGTTTTTTCCTACGTCCAGCATGTGAAAATGTTTTTTTCTTAGAGTCAAATCGATTCTACGTATTCATAATTGTAACATTGGGGTTCTATTCAGTGTTGCAATTATCCAATTGCACGAAACGTTGGAAATTTGGCTAGGAAGTCAAGAATGTGTCAGGCAATAACAAGATTTTGAGGTCGGGAGAAAGTGCGGGCGGTTGATCTGCGTGAACGACTGCATTATCTATCTGCAGTGTCCTTCGTCAATGCCGGCAATGCTCGTTTCAGTACACTTTCTTAGAAATGCGCGCTGACGCAGAATTCTGCCGTAATCAAGGGGTTAAAACGTGAGAGCTTCACTTTATATCCGACTGTTTGGATCAGGCCGGTGAAAATTGGACGGTCTCGGGCGGGCGCCCATGGCATGCCAATACTTAACCCCTTCCGATAAGATTTGATCATGAAAAATTGTGCATGAAATAACCATTTAATTTTTACTTCAAAAAAACATGTTTCATTTTATTTAATTCTACCTAGTAATTCTAACAGTAAACATATGTAATAATGATCTGTGATATTTACATAAATAATAAAAGGAGATACAATATTACCAGATTCAATGAACTAGACATTTTAAACCAAATTACTTATTATAACATTCAACAGTGACTTTAGTATGACGAGTATAGTTCGTCATTGTGCGGTATGGCATAAAAATCCAATGACGAACTGTACTGGTCATTTTACCGGAAGGCATTAAGGAGCCGAAAAGGTTTGGCCGACCGATCCGTTGTTTCTGTATGAAGAGTACGGTGAGAGTACAGTTCACACCGAGAGCTATTCCAAGATTAACATTAAACGTACCTACACTTTGTATATACTTATTCTTACACTCCAATGAAATATGTAACTGGTTATAAAACGAAGGTAAAGAAGTTAGACGATACATTATTTTTAATGGAAACAGGAACAGAAAGAAGGATAAAAATTGAAAAACTGATTAATTGGAAAGTATAGTATAAGAGGTGAAAGAAAAATGGAACAAGATATTGTTAGATTAAATTAATCTTTATTCTCCGTGGGATCGTTTTCTCAAAACGTCCGATCAGTTATTCCGTCTGTTTTCGGTCCGAGCTTGTCCCCGCATTTTCTTCGGCATCACCAGCGTACAAGGGCGGGGGTATAGGAAAAACAAAGGTCGGGCCTGACCCTTTATCGATGCTTCGCTGTGCAATCCCTTCCGCTTTCCTAACGTCTTACAGTAGAAATGGATATAAAGTTAAATGCACGGAGAAAATCATGTGAACCATCAAAACATGAATTTTGAAATTAGTTTCTTTAATTACGTGTAATTTCTAAAATTTCGCATATTTGACTTAAACAAATGCATCATATAGTTCCAATATTAGTAAACATATATGTAAAAAATATCCCCTTAATTTTTGAATTTATGTATGATTTCTTTTAATCGGGAATGGAACTGTCTTGTGATACCGTTGGGACAACCCGTTCTATTCAGGCAACCTGACTTTATCGAGCAATCTAAAATACATTCATAGAAAGTATAGGAAAAGAAGAAAACAACAAGCACTGCAGTATATTGGAAAAACTAGTAACTTTTATATTTCAACTTTTCAGTACCAATGAAAACCAAAAAATTAGTGAAATTATATTAATTCATAAGAGACGTAAAGGATTTTGTGATATTCGGCTGTACTTCCAAAATCGTGACAAATACGATGAGGCTTAAATTTTGCAGATAGCTTCATTTTGCATAAACAGAATGTTTTCGAGAAGGATTTTTTACGAAGCGAAAATTAAGATGCAAAGTTTTGCAAAAAAGTGTTTTATCATTTTAGTGTCACTCCCTGTAATTTCTGATACTTTTATCTTTTAATTAGTCTGATATTGTACCGATAACTTCATTTTACATAGGAACAATGTTTACGAGAAGGATTTTTGGCAATTCCAAAGTTAAAACACAAAGTTTTGTAAAAAACCGTTTTACCATTGTAGTGTCACTCCCTACGATACCGTGATAGTTTGAGACAGGCACCGTTTCACAGTACATACGGGAATAGTTATTTCTAAAAACGCCTTGGAAGATTGTAGTGTAAGTCGCAGATAAGGAATTAAGGCGCTTAAAATTAGTACACTGTCAGCCATTTCTTACCACGTGTAAATTCCAGATGTAGCAATGAAACGCCCTAGTATTTAGCTTTCAATAATAATTGACGCATCATGAACTCGCGCTTGGGAATAAGTAGTCGACGACGCTCAATCACAGGTCCAAGCCATCTTCCGGTAACTTTAATTTTTAATTTTTGGTATAAGTTGAGTGTTTTGTCAATCGGCGTAAGGGGGGATGGTAGATCCCCGTTCTGCCAACGCCTTTACTTCATAATTACTAAAAATCATTCCAGTCGAAATCTGTGTAATACTCAAATATTTATATTCAATTTTTATTTGAATATTTGAAACGATATGACATAAAAAAAAAACTGGAATAGATCCTTTCATGCAATTACTATAAAATATAAAATGTGTAAATACATTGAAGTAATGAAGAAAGAATATCGAGTACTACTGTAATTTCATTTACGTAGTCGGCATCGTAGGGAGTGATACTACAATGATAAGACGCTCTTTCGCAAAAGTTTGTGTTTTAACTTCGGAATTGCCAAAAATCCATCTCGTAAACAATATCTCTATGTAAAA